AAAAGAATGGCTTTTGCACAACTTTATTCTGCAGTGATCTGTCTTTCTTCGATTGTGTATAATTAATCATTAAAAGGTTCAAGCATTGAAACAATCTCGTTTGTGAGTTTGTGTACTACCTATATCCTGTATCGCAAAGAGCTCCATAGCAACATTACTGTAAATAACAGTGAACGCCACAATTCTTGGGAGTACTGTGTGGTAATTTTTGAAAGAATTTAAGTACAAGATTTTCAATATGTTTTCGAACTCTGATTGTGATTTTATACAGTTTTTAGTTCAATATGTTCAGTATAGACTGACAGAAAATGAAATATTAATGATACTGTAGATCCCTCTCATGACCTGCCCTGCCCTAAAGTGTATTAAACACCATTTGGTTTTGCTTCAAAGTGCCAAAATGTGCATTTATGCGACACTATTTTAGTTGAGATTGAAGGAGTGTCACAAAAATGAAATGCTGTTTGTTTTTTTTTGGCTGTATACATACAGTGTCTATATGTGTGTGTGTATAACCTGTGTGTAGTGTATATGTGTGTATGTGTATGTATGTGTATGTGTATGTGTATATATATATTCTTTTAAAATCATCTTACAAAGCTTTATAAAAACATGAATGTATTAACATCAGATCAAAGTATTGTGAATACATAGGATATAGATTCAGATAGATTGGCCATGAATGACCCATCAATGCAGGAGATTGCCTGCAGTCTAAAAGCACTAGTGGTGAAATTGTGACTCTTTGCTGTTGGAACCAAAGAAGGTCTTGGAGTGACATAATTATAGAGACACAAAGTCTGCAGAGAGAGGATGTTGGGCTGGTTGGGTGGGTCAACAACATCAGACTTTGACATGAGAGTGTCATGAACTGTTTGCTTCCCATCCATCAGTCAATGTTGGTTTCTTTTACAGTGTTGGCTGATCCCTTACACACTGAATGCTGAAAGAAAGTAACAGGCTGGACTTGTTTGTAGTGCAATGGAAGAAGACATGCCTGTCTTTTGTGAAATAAGTGACATCATTCACAGGGATGACCATCATGCATTCAGGGCATTAAGGAAATGTTTATAAAAAAAATGTTGCACTTAAATTTTATAAACCGTTTGATTTTCAAAGCTCATACAGTGATTCAGATGAAGGTTTGTACATTATACCTTAATTCACAATGTTTTGATTCAACTGTATGAATGATTGCAAGGGTATAAGGCAAAAATAAATTATTTTTAAACATCATTTTAACATTTGAAGATTTCTTCAGCAGTGTTATTTGTCTTATCCCTTAGTGTTACTGTAACTCTGTTGTGTGAGTTAAAGAAGGAATTCTGGCATCGTGTTTAACTATTTTAAAAGGGTAACTCTGGAGAGTGGAGCTACATAAACCTGTAAAAAGTGTTGAAATGAACTCTGTGTGAGGTAATCTCGGTTAATTAGGTTAAGCATTTGGTTACACTTTGTTTGCGTATAGTGCTCTGAATTCCTAATGTTAAACGAAAGCTTTACACAGTTACACAGAGGACAATGATTGCTTGCATGAATCACGTAAACTGTATGAGAATAATGACTGTATTTTGTGATCTGACTTTCCCAAGACATAGCAGGTGGTTGGTGGAGAGGGGGGAATACTTGAAAATTCTCAAACTTGTGCCTTTGGTTAAAATTTAATTTTAACATTTCTTCAAGGTTGATTTGACACAAACACTACCCAAATAGTGAAAAATGAACAGAGCAGTGTTATTTGTCTTCTGAGTTAATGGCATGTTAAAAATGAACTAGTCCTCATCAAACAATATAAAAGCAGCCAGCAGGATCACAGTAGTCAGAGTTTGGGTGACTGTGTGATCTTGAATCAACCTGGATGATGAATTTCACCATTTTATGGTTTGTTTTGCTTTTCTGTGGCTCGATTTCGGCCCAGGATGATGGCAATGCTACTGAAATACAGTCAAACCATCCCAATATGTGTGACCTCATGAGGGAGTTTGTTGCCATAAGAGAAAAACTTGGAGCTTTAGAAACCAGGCTGAAGGACAGTGAAACCAGGCTGAAGGAAAGTGAAAACCAGATTATGGAACTGAGGAACAAAGGTAAAATTGTTTTCATCAAATAATTCATTAGGCATTTAATTTATTCTGATAGAATACTACGATTAAATTGAACTGAAATATCAAACAGGCCTAGCGTGATAAAGCAAGCCTTAAGCCTTAAAAAAGTCTTTCGTCAGTATTACATCAAAACAGCTGATTTCAGGAGAGGTATTGGAAATACTTTACAAAGTGATGTGATCAGAATGTTTTGTTTTACACAGAAAGAACCAAGGTGATATTCAGTGCAGCAACAGAAGGAGATAGAGCCATTGGACCATTCAACACAGACATAACTTTAATCTACAGAACAGTGATGACAAACATTGGTAATGCCTACAACCAATTTACAGGTAACAACTCCAGTCCACTAACAATGTTTTACAAGCAGTATTCCAATTATTAGGGCAACGGTGACCTGAGAGGGCAACAGGCAATCCAGGCAGACAGAAACAGTTCAATAAGATTTATTAAAACAAGTAAGCTCACTTGTATGGGTACAAACAAGTGACTGGTGGGGTGGAGACAGACTGACAGGCAGGTACAGATAAAGTTAAGGTAGGTAAGTGAGTAAATTTTATTTAATA